TAGCTTTCAGGATCCATTTTCTCCTACCATGTTGGTTCAGGGGATCAAATCCCAGTGTCAGGCTGCCCAGAGTTCTTACCCTGAGCCTTCTCTCCTGTTTCCTATCTTACGTTTCCTTTTGCAGCCTAGGCCGGCCTCGAACTTGTGATTCTGTGTGCACCACTTGACCAAGCAAGTCACTTTGTTCATACATTTAATTTGCTAGACTTGTAAAAATTACTTTAGGTACTTGAAAATAATTGTGAGAAAAGTAAGCTAAAGTAAAATATCTCAGAGATTTTCTTGCAGTCAAATATCCCAAGCTTACTTTTTGGTTGGCTGCTGGGCACCATGGGCACTGTGATATTCAATGCCGGTTCTGTTTCCATACCCAGCACTGGACTTCATTCCTGTGGGCTGTTAATTGTGGCTTAGCATGAGCTTTGTGAGGCCTGGTTCAAGGTTATGCTGGGGAAGTCTAGACTAGACCTTGTCCCAAGGGGCGTATTCCTCCTACACTGTCTGTGTTGGACGGACCTTCCTCAGGTCTCTGCTGATTGCTCTCAGTGTTCTAAGAGGCCTTTCCTCTGCATGCTCAGGCTTTCAGAGATCCTAGTGTCTGCAGAGATCCTAGTGTCTGCAGGCTTTTTCCTCTGGAAAAAGGCCCTCTCCCCTTTTTCTGTCTGTGTGATATTTACCCTGGGCACATGTCCTTGCCATTCGCTTCCCATGCTCCTCTGCTGGTTTCTTCTCCTGCTTTGTGAATTTGTGTTACCCAGCCTCACTCTTTGAGACTTTAGGAAGACACAGGGGCAACTTGAGGGGTCATTTCTCCCCTTGTCTCTGATCTTGCAGTGTCTTTGTCTGGTATTAGAAGATAATTTACACCACAAACACACACACAGACACACACAGATACACACACAGAATTTCTGAGGGCTCATGTGAAAGTTTGTTTAGAAATGGCATGGATATAGCTGGGCAATGGTGGCACGTGTTAATCCCAGCACTTGGGAGGTAGAGGCAGGCAGATCTCTCTGAGTTCCAGGACAGCCAGGGCTACACAGAGAAACTCTGTCTCAAAAACAAACAAATTTAAAAAAAGAAAAAAAGAAAGAAAAGATATCAGATACCTTTTCTGTGAAGTGTTGTGCAGCCAGCCCTGCTGTCAGAAGGTGGAAACAGAGTCGGGAAGAATGACCCAGACATGTGCACAGAGAAGTGCAGTAAGGTCTAGGCCACTGTCATGGTGGCCGTTCTCCTGCTGCTTGTCATCCCTTCTGATGGCCTTTGTTTACTCTTGCATAGGGTGTATTGTTATCCCATATTTGTGGAATTAGTGTGGTTTTCTTTCCGTTACATTATGTGATATTTTAAAAGAACATCTTACTGTGTAGTACAGGCTGGCCTGGAGTATGCTATAGCACAGGCTTGCCTTAAACTTGTGGTTCCCCAGCTCCCGCCTCCTGAGTGCTGGGTTTGGGGAATGGGCCACTGTACCTTGCATTGAGTTTTATTTATACATCTAAATGTTAAGTATGTAGAAGATGTAAGACACTTACTATACTTGATAATAAATCTGATAAAGTGTTTCTTTTGATTGTTTAGATTTGTCATTGGAAAGAAGAGGGATTAATGTTTTTCTTTCTTTCTTCTAGAGACATATTATTACGTTTCCCCATTAGTGTGTGCCTTTTTCTTGGCTCTGACTCCTATCTGGATTATAATAGCTGCCAAGCACCCAGCCACCAGGACCGTGCTCCACTCAGGCTGGTAGCCTGTCATAACAGCCATGGTTATAAGCAGGTGAGTGTTGGGGGTGAGGAAGGGAGGGAGAGAGGGAGGAGCAAACGATCATGGATCATGTTCTGTGAAGGTATGTACATACTATACAAGTTTCTTGCACTGAAAATGAGGCATCAGTTAGATGAAGCCTAATACAGTTGGAATATGGAATATTAGCCTCCCAGCATGACACTGTTACGTTTCTGTTTCTATGGAAACATGTTCAGTCCACACTTGATGAGAACAGTAGTCTGGGAAAGATGAATGTCAGGTTAAGTGTGGTAAGCTAAGAGTCTTAGGCAGGATTTGGATTTGGGTAATACGAAGGTAAGAATCCAGCATGGAAGAGGAGATCAAGGGTGACAGCTGTACCTCTGTTCTCAAGACCAGCCACACAGAGTGTAGGGACAGAGAGCAGAAGAAAAATCATCTCTAAGAATTAAAAAACAAGAACAGCAACTGTGTGGAATTGATTACTTCATGCATTTGGTGTGACAAGAAGGGCTTACCATGATTGACAGGATACAGAGAGGAGGGACTTGTGGAAGCTGTGAGGAGCGTCCTCATCTGCCATGGGAGGGAGTCACTAAGTATGGGTCTAACAGTAGCATTAAGAAACAGCATTTAAGCATGCTACTTAGAAACATAGACACTACGGTGGAAATGAATTCCTAGTGCACAGAGGGTCTGGGAATGGGGCTGGGACTGCTGTCTGATGATGTCAGAGCTTTTGCTCTGCTGTTTTGACAGTCAAGTCCATCCTGTGACAGCCTCTGGCTCATTTTGCTTGCAAGTAGATGGCATTTCTTGGGACATTTGGGCAACAGGCACTGCCTTATAGTGAGTGGCACAGACTGAAGGTAACCAACTAGTAAAACCTTCGGAATCTTAACCAAGCCTCCACGTTCCACTGACATACTGAATGTGAATGGCTTGCCACTGTGTTATAGTAAAACAACCACCTTGTTTGCCAGACTTCATAAGCTCAGCTCTCTGTGGTAATACGGTTGGTTATAATCTGTCTAGTTTTAGCACAATAGAAAATGCCCTTTAATGCCTAGTTAGCTCAAAAATTAAAATGCAGTTGGTTTCTGAGTTGAACAGTAATAGATGTCAGTATGATCTGAGCACTTCCGAGGCTGGATCTCTAGGAGGTTGAGGCTAGCCTGGCCTACTAGCAAGCTCCAGACCAGCCAAGGCTGTATAGTGAGACACTGTCTCAAACAAAACAAAACAACAAACACTGTGCAGAAGGCTATGAGGGAACATTGGTACTGTTGTTTTAAGCCCCAGAAATAGTTAAGGATGACTTGTAGGTCCTTCTAGATAGTTTAGTGTTGTTAACATATGTATAATCAGAGAACTGTGACACATACCTATAATCCCAGCCCTTGGGAGGCTAAGGCAGGAGGATTGTTGCAAGTCCAGGGCCATATTAGGCTATATAACAAGACCCTGTTCCCCAAAGGTGAAAAAGAGATAAACAAACAAAATCACACATTAAACAAAACAAACACACAAACACACTAGTACTCACACACATAACTGATGGTTACAGCATTTCTCATCTATTTAGTGTGTATTACCTTTGTGTATGCTCCTGTGTGCCCAGGAATGCACCTGCAGAGGTCAGAGGTCAACACCAGGTACCTGAATCTCTCCTGTTGTACTTTATCTTTTTTTTTCTTCTTCTGTTCTAGTTTTTCAGTTGGGCTCTCCCTGAGCCTGCAGATCACTGACTGGCTAGGAAGCCCCTGAGATCCTTCTGTGTCTACCTCCCACCGTAGACATTGTAGGTCCCCCTTCCCACACCTGGAGTTTTATGTGGGTGTTGGGCTCAGAAATCAAGGCTTTGTGTTACATAGCCAGTTCCTCGCTGCTGAACACCTCTCCTGCCCCAATGTCATGCTTGATTCCCAGCTTTTTACTGTTAACATTGCTTTCTACTTTGAATATTGTATTTTTGTCTGCTTTTTTACATTGCACACACATTGTACCCTACGAGGTGGAGGTGTCTGAATGTTGGAACAAGTTAAGATCATTTTTCGTTTCTCTTCCCTAATGTGTGGTTCTCTTCCTTTCAGCATCAGGGGCCTTATTCTGGATACAACTGTATCTGACCCAAACTTGTTTGGGATTGTTGTTTACACGCCGGTTATCAACAGTAAGAGATGACAGTCCTGTCTCTTGATGACATCACTCTTAGATACCCATAGGCATGGCCTCCTATGCCTTCCATTTTTTTCTTCAAACTCAAGGTGTAACTCAGAGTGGAAGTTATCTTCTCTGGTCTCATTGCATAGAGTACTTTGGGAAAGAGCTGTTTCTCAACTTTTGTTACATGTTGATTTGACAAGGCACACCTGACATTTTAAGGCTAATGTGACAAAATACAGTATTTTGGCTTACAGTATTTTGGCTTACCTGGTGGGGTTTTTTTTTTCTTCCCCTGATGGTCCTGTAGACCATGCTGGCTTCAAATTCAGAGATCCAGCCTTTGTCTCCTGAGTGCTAGGATTAAAGGTGTGTGCTACTAAGCCTAGCTTATTTCTAAAACTAATCTTAATTATGAGTATATGTGTGTGGCATGTGCATGTGAGTGCAGGTGCCATCAGAGGCCGTAGGCATGGGACTTCCCTGGAGCTGGAGTTACATAAGTGTCAGTTACTCAGGTTCTCTGCTGGAGTGCTGCGTGCTCTTAACTGCTGGGCCACCTTTCCAGCTCCCTCATCTTAGCTGCTGGTCTTGTATTTCCTCTTGGAAGAAGCAGAGTTAGCCGGATTTGATCATTGCCCAAAGTTATTCCATTCACTAAGATCTTCGACTGTGTTGATACCTGTGAACTATGCCTCATACTTCCCTCGCCTGTAAAATAGAAATGATAATCCTTGTTTTAAATACTTATGTACCTTAAAGAATCATGTAAAATAGTCTCAGGGGTTTTCCATGAGTTATGCTGAACAAGACAATTCAATCCATCTCTACTGTTTTTGGAAGTGGTGGTTATTAAGATGGACTTTAGTATAGCCTAGGTTGACATGATTTTAAAAAGTAATTCTACCGTGTCATACCATTCATTTGCCATATATTATTTTTTTAAAGATTTCACTTTCTATATTCACAGAAAAATTATACAATGACTTTTCTGCAGAAGTCTAATTTTTGATCTAAGATTTCTACTGAATGTTGTAATTTTTGTCTACCTTTGGAATGTCAATAGTAGGTTTCCTCAGGAATCTCCCTCCCAGCTGCCTATTGTCATCCCTGCTGAAAGCCATGGAGCTGTCTGGTTCTACCTGCTCTTACTTGAACATTTCCAACCCTTGCCGTTGTCCCTCACAAGGCTTGCTTCTTCAATTGTGTATACAGTGGTGTCTTTCTAAACTGCGCTGGGGCCATCCTTTGAGTGATGAAGTATCCTTCCTGAGTTACTGCCTGCTCAGTGCACATTTTTGCTTAGATACCCTGTCTTCCATAAATAGTGTTTGTATCCTGTCCATCAGAAGATTAATTTCTCTGTGGGTTTCCCCTATGTGTCACATCAAATCTGAACTCCACTGTCTTTCACAGTTGGACTCAGTGATCCCACAAGATGCACCAAAGTACTCCCATACTTACTAGTAAGAGGCACCAAACTACCCCAGTGGTTACTAGTCAGATGCACTAAACAAACTAGACCTTGTACTGTCCTTATGATCATCCTCATTTTCACTAGCAGAACAGGCATGCCTTTCCTTCCACCTGTTCCTCCTCTCTTCAATGAATGTTAACCAACAAACCCATTAGCTTAAGTGTTCTTGGATTGAGCTGTATTGAATAACATTACTAGTAACTTAAATGGAAATGATCCTTTATTCATTAGACTCTCATGACTCTTTCAGTTGCTTCACCTTTTTACAAGAAACCATGTTAGAGCATCATGTCAGACTCCCTTGGAAGTCTGTGCCGTCTCATCACATAACTAAGTCCTTCTTGTTATGTCAACAGCTAAACCTTAGTTGGATTCCATTAAATTCTACCCTTAGAAACAGTGGTAGAGAAGATAGCATATTCTCAGATAGGTAAAACTTTTAGAACTGG